TCCTCATTTGTGGGACATTTTCACTGCAACAGAACCTGAGTGCAGAGTCTCAAATGCAGACTAGTTTAATCCTAGAAACAAGGTGAAATGAGGTGAACCAGCAGGCCATGGAGGGGCTGCCAGATAGAAACCATGAAGAGGCAAAAGACTGCCTGTCTGGCCCCTCAAAGTGACCAAGCAGGGGAACTCAGTGCTCTCTGCGGAGGGGGGTGGGGGGGTGGGGTGTCTATGTCTGTTAAGTAAATTCAGCACTGGCCTTGTGCTGGGTCCAGGCACCTCTTGTACCAGTTATGTAAACCTGAAAAGCCACTTCTCTGTGGTCACAGTCAACAGTGGAGCTGGGACCAAAAAAATCTCCTTATAACTTTTCTATGCAGCTCCAGGCTTTAAGTCCTAGGTGGAGAATGCTCATGGGAAGCAGGACCATGGCTCCTGGGCCGGCATCTCTCCCAGGACTTAAATGGCCAATGCAAAGATGGCATACAAGGTCTGTGTGAATACAGCCTGACTGGTGTCTGGCACCTGGACACAGGGCAGACACAGTACTCAATTGGATTGTCACTAGCAGCACATCACACTGCTCACAGCTTCCAGGGTGACTCAGTCTACTCACAAGCTCTCAAGTTCCCAGCTGCTATGACATAACCTGGAGCTGGGCCAGAGCTCCACCACTGTGAGGAAATGCTCCGGGTAACGCTGCAGGCCCCAATGGGTACTGAGGAACAAGGCCAGGCTCCACACAAGGTGTCCATATTTGCACAGCACACAACAGGCTGTGTCAGAAGTCAGGGACTTGGATATGAATGCTGGTGTGCTCCACAGGAATAAAACAAAACACTATTTTCTGGGATGAGTTGAAGGAATGCGGACTCTAAAGTGACAATATTTTCCTTCAGTCCCACAGTCCTGGAATGACTGGCCGTGCAGGTGGGGAAGGAGTCTGTTCTCCCTGCCTGTCAGGCTGGTGCCTGTAGCTGGCTCCACAATCTTTCAGTTCCAAGGAGCAACCAGGCTCTGGGGAGTTGCATGGACCCTCTCCCTCAGGGAGTGGCAGTCCTTCATCTTTTGGGTCTCTGCTCTTTCTTGGAGATGTGGCCACCCTCTGTATTGGGGCCCTCTGGTTCCGCACTGTCCTGTGTTCAGCTGTATAATTACCAGCAACCCGCCAGGAGAACAGAGCTGAGGGGGGTAGTCGAGTGTTCCAGGCACCAAGTTCTTTAAACAGTAGCTGATGCCTCTGAACCTATTTCCACACAAATTGTCTTTTTCCCATCTGTGCTCATTAGGGGTAAATGATTAAAAGACAGATTTCTGGTTCAGTGGCAGCCCCATTATTTAGCCTTCAAGTATTGCTCACACAGACAAGGACAAGACACCTGCCATAGATGTGTCACAGGGTGCTGGAATTCGGGAGCCTGAGGGAGTACTGCCTAGGGCAGTGCAGTGGGAGGGGCTGGCTAAAGCAATGTCGTGGGTGAAGGGGCTGACTAGGGCAGTGCCATGGGGGGGGGCTGGCTGGGGGCAGTTTTGTCGGGGAAGCTGAGGGGGTCTGGCTGGGGCAGTGCCATAGAGAGTAGGTGTTGCTGGCTGGGGCTGTGTTGTTGGGAAGATACGGAGAGACTGGCTGGGACAGTTCTGTAGGGGGATAAAAAGGGCTGGCTGGGGCAATGTTGCTGAGGAGGGTGGGGGGCCTGGCTGGGGCAGTGTTTTGGGAAACTTGAGGTGAGGGCTAGCTGGGGCAGTGTTGTGGGAGGGTGGAATGGGCTGGCCGGGGCAGTGCTGAAGGTGGGTGAGGGAGCTGGCCAGGGCAATGTTGAATGCGGGGTTGGCTGAGGCAGTGCTGTGAGAGGATGAAGGGGCTGGCTGAAGCAGTGCTGAAGTGGTCAGGGGTGCTGGCTGGGACAGTGCTGTGGGGAGTAGGAGGGTTGGCTGGGGCAGTGCTGTGGGTAGTGGGGGTGTTGGCTGTGGCAGTACTGTGGGAGGATGGGGGGCTAGCTGGGGCAGTGCTGTGGGAGGATGGGAGGCTGGCTAGGGCAGTGCTGTGGGTAGTGGGGGTGCTGGCTGGGGCAGTGCTGTGGGGAGTTGAGGGGCTGGCTGGGACAGTGCTGTGGGAGGATGGGGTGGGCAGGCTGAGGGAGTGTTGTTGGGGGAGGGCTTCAGGCTGGGGCAATGTTATTATGGGGGGAGGGCCTGACTGGGGCAGTGCTTCTGTTTTGGAGGCAGAAAAGACCTGGTAGAATCTCTTGGTACTTAGACTACAGAGAGGGAGGAAATGGTATAAGAAGTGAAGTGAAGGCCTGGGGAAGCTGAGGGCCTAGTCAGTTAGGATATGGTGAATGCTGGAGGGAAGGGCAGAGACTATCTCTGTTGTCACAAGGAGGTCAGCCCTCCAGTGGAGCACTCCCAGCCCTGTCTTCAACTCAGGAGTCCAGGTGACAATCTCTGGCTCCCTTTCTCTTTACTTGCCTGACCAGAAGCTACTTGGACTTTCAGAAGCTGGGCAGTCCCATAGAAACAAGCACCACAAAAATATGGACAGGCTGGGTTGCACCTTCCCAGGATCCTCATTTCATGTTTTCTTCACCCAGGAGTTGAGAGGCAAAACCACAAATGTGGACTGCCTTGGGAGCAATGTCACACTTAGACGCAGAGCTGCTTTAGCACAGATTTATTGCAAACCAACAAAGACACTGAGAATGCAACTAGCTGAACACCCCTCTCCTGGGCGCCTGGACCCGGAGCGAGCTGCCCTGCCATCCTCCAAGCCTCAGCTGATGGGGTTAGTGGTCAAACTGCTGCTGTCCTGTCCAAAAAGAAAAAACAAGCAGTGTGCACCCAAACCCAGGTCTGAGCTGAGTGGGCAGAGATGCTCTCCAGGGTGGCGGGCAGGCAGGGCAGTGCCCCTCACATAGAGGACACTCCTGGTGTGTACCAAGCATGGCCACTAGCTCCCCAAGGTCACTTTCTCGTCTCTGCTGTTTTGTTAAAGCAGGGTGGAAAACAAGGAGCAAACAAAACCCTAGAGAACAGAATCTGGGCTAAAGGAAGACAATCCACCATGGAAGTAAATGACTCCACAGTCTTCCAAAGGACTGAGGTACAATGCATGCCACCCCACCTTATCACGCCCCTGGAAGCCCCCTCACAGGTGTGTGGCCCCTTAGTGAACTACAGGGAAGATGGGAAACACATTAACAGAAGGCGTGAAGCACGCATACATGCATATGTACACACACATGGCACAGCAAAAGCCAGTGTGTGACAAATATGCACACTGGAGGAGTCTGTCATGCTGGGAAGGAGTGGTAAAGACTTCCTCAGACTCCAGCACAAACAGTGCCACCCCCTTGCAGGTGACAAGTGTGCCCACTTGTCAAACACTCTACTGAAGCCCCAGAACTCTGGCACATGGCTTTGGTGACTGATGGGGACAGAAGGACGCTCACAGTCTATGGGGGTGATGTCAAGGCTTGATATCATGATACCACAGCAGCTTTTCTGGGTCCAGGGAGGACGTGGGTAGTTTCCTAGAAAGAGTTGCTGGGGGTGAGGCTGTTAACGGCCACTGATGGCCAGAAATCTGTCCAGGAAATTACTTCATTAAGGCCTCACCTGTTGGCTGAGGCCTGAGACAAGGAGGCAGGAAGTGGCCAGAGGTTACTGCAGCCCAAGTGGTAGATAGAAAACTCTCCCCTAAAGTAAGCTGCTTTCTCTTGGTTACTACATCTCCTCACTCCGGTTCCTGTCAGTAAGGCCTGCCGGAACCCTGATGACACAAACAGCATATGCTCAGGGGAGGCTCCACATAAAGGGCTGCCAGGCTCTGGGCTGGTGTTTCCAGGGCCACAAAGGGGACTGAGAGAATTCTTGAAGAGGCTCTGCTCTTGCTCCGGTAAGCTGACTCAAGGCTGTTCTCTCCACACTTAAGTAGACCTGAGCTGTCCATTTAGCCCTACCAAGGGCTGTAGGTGACATAGAAGGAAGAGAGCAGCCAGTACTCCTGTGTGGAGGTGTGGTCAGTGTGGAGGTATAAGTTCTGTAACCAGTGCTGGCAGAAAAGTGGACTTCTCCACCACTACAGAGGGAGAGATAGATCCTTAAGCAATCCAAGGACTGTCCCAGGGCACAGTGGTTAGCTTCCAGGGCTGATGCCATGGTCTCTTGCATATACCCTGACCTCAAGCCTTTTCGTGAAGGCAGAGCTTGCCATTCATGCAAAATCAAAGCAGAGATGAACAGGAGTCAAACGCTGTGGCTCACAGATGTGGTCTGCTAGACAGAGCCAGGTATGTTTGAGCAGTGCTGTGGTGGGCAGTGCTGGCTCACGGGATGTCTTGAGTATGAACAGAGGGATGTCTTACAGCACAGACAGAATCCTTACTGCACCAGGGCCTTGAGACCAGAGCTCAGGGCTTTCTCTCTTGACATCTAGAACTGGCAAAGACAGACATCGACAAATGCAGATGCCAGGACTTCCATTTCTGTTGTGCCAATGAGGCACTGAGGCAAGGCAGGGAGCAGAGCAAAATGATAAGCAGAATGACATGGAAACACACCATAAAAGGCTGCAACAGTCAAGGCTTTCCCACACCTAGGGGTCAGCTGCCACAGAGCCACTTGCAGGCTGCACTTGTGCTATCTGTGCAGCAATGACACCCGCCCACAAGAAGCAAACTAAAGAGCACACAGACAGGAGCAGTACCACGCAGGGGAGGGAAGGCCCTACCGTGGGGATGGCAGCCTGGCCAGCACATGGAGGTGCCTGTCAGCAGGGCCAGGGCTCAGTCCACCCTCTGCCTCCTTAGAGCAGCAGCACAAGGAGGGCCAAGTTTAGGGGACAAGCTGGTTTCCCCTCAAAGAAAAGATGAGCCTAGGGCAGGGGAGAAGGGTGAACAGGGAGCAGATAAAGGCCCCTAGCATGCAAGAGGACAGAGGGAAGCTGAGGCGCGTCGTGTGGCTTCCGCCTTCCACATGCTGGAGGGCCACAGGTCCTCTGGGCACTAAAACTGCACTGCCCCAGGGGAGATGTTGAACATAGCAGGGTCGAATCTCTGGCCTCGGAAGGGGGAGCCTTCAGCATCCCATCCCTTCTTCAGCATCTCATGGACTTTCTACAAACAGAAAATAGAGAGATTAAACATGACCAAAAGGCAGCACACTACCTCCCAGAGCAGAAATTCAATTGCAGGCACAGGGCCTCCCTGTTGTATCAAGGACCCAGGGGTATTCATAGGGGCAGACCAACGGCCAGATGCTTGTACATTCCCAAAGTCACATCTGAGCTGCTGAGCTGCTGTGTGTCTATCCACTGGCTGCTGCAGAACATAGGCTCCCTGGCCCTCATTTCCCTGTCACCAGCGAGGTGCCAGCTCTTGCTCAGGGTTCAGCTCACATCCCTTTTTATCAGGTATTTCTTTCTAAAATTCATATGGGTGCTCATCCAAAGTGTCCATCCAGAATTATGCCCTACAGAGGAGGCCCCTTGCCAGGAACTGCCCTGAGAAGTTGAGAAAGTAAGTGTGTGATACAGAGACTCTCACACAAAAGGAGTGCACAGCTTGCAGACCATCCCGGAGATCACTGGACATAACGGGACACAGATGTTACCTCTCCAGCATCACGGAGACCTGGGCAGAGGTACACTTGTCTAGCCTCCAATGGCCAGGAGGCTCAGCTGGGCACCAAGTCCAGGGCATACACAGGAAGCCTCAGTGAGGACACTTCTGTGTGCTCACTGGCTTTGAGCCTTACACCTCCCCTTTTGCCCTCCTCTGTGTACTGGTCCCAGAGCGAATGTCCTATTCCAGGCTGCTGGGAAGCTGGCAGTCTCTCCCTTCTCATTATGAGGAAGTAATGGAAACTAACTGTTGTACACGACAGGGGGTTATCGTAACCCAGCTGGGCATGTTCCTTGTTGCAGAGAGGCTACACACTAGCCAGGTGGTGTGAACAATGCTGCCGGCTCACCAAGATGCCAAGGGCACAGACTCCAGCAGGTCAGCTTACAAGAGGACGTACTCTCTCCTGTCTAGACCTAAGTGATACAGCAACAAGCATGTCAAAGACATATATATAAATAGTAATTATGCCCAACGCTTACAGGTAATTCATATTAGTGACTTCTTGGAAAAAGGATTTCGAGCATCTTTTCAAACAATGGCAAATGAAGAATGCAGGCCTGCAGGCTGCAGCAAGCCCTTTATGTGCCTAAGCTCACACCAAAGAATGGCCGGCTAATAAAACAAATCCTGCTGCAGAGAATGAACGTGTTCCCACATTCTGATGCATCTGTGCCACGGAGCCTGGGTGACAAGAAGCACATCTTGGTGCTACTCTCCAACTGACCCACCTGTACCCGGTCAGCTGCCCCACCCATGTCCTACTCTTCTGAAGAGGCTGTTAGAGCTGGCACTGGCCAGTCCTCACCCCCTGAGAAAGGAAGGAAGGGGAGCAGGGTGTGACAATACAGACCCCACTCCCTGTGTGAGGACAGAAGGGGAGCAGGATGTGACACTGCAGACCCACTCCCTATCTGAGGACAGGAGGACACTGGACAGTCCCTGTTCTCTGTTAGGGGAGGGCAGAGGAGTATTTATGAACTTGAGCCCTCAGCACTGTAAACAAATCACTATCCTCTCTTAGCTCTGAATGGCTAAGCCCCACCAGTCACAAAATCTAGGATAAGACTGAACAGTGCAAACTGGTAGAGTACACCCTCCTTCCTGGTAGGGGAGATCCCACTCAAAAGCAATTCAATTAGGAAAAACATGAAGATTAAAGTTTTGCTTTTGGAAAAGAATTTACAGTGACAGTAAGAAAGAGTATTTCTATCACTTCGAAATAAAATGCTTTAAAATACACAGTATCTATGGCATTAGAAACACATTTTTTTCACAGCAATCACAGCAAATTCACAAAGCTTTCAATTCTGTGACTGTGCCAATCGGTAAGGCAGATGAAATCTCAGAGGGGAACTGGTCCAGATTCAATCCTCACTGAAGGGAGTCAGGGCCTGTGCTCACAAACAACTCTCTCTACATCATGAGCCTCAAGCTCCCTCAGAACAAGAATAAAACATGACCAGATTATTATACAAGCTACAAAGGCTACTTGCTTTTCTAAGTTTGTTCTTAGTTTGTTAAAGTAAGTAGCAATTTGCATGAGACTTTGAAGTGCAGAATCACAATGATGCCTAAGTCTCCTGGTTGATAAAAACTGGAGGAATCTCAAGACTATGGGTCTCAGCTCACCCTTTGATCCTGGAATAGAACTTACCCTGACACAACCAACAGCCGAACAACAGACAGACCTTCAAGGTGAGCAAGACCTCTCAGCCCTGCAGGACCACAGGGAAGTACTTTCCCAGAGGTAAAGCTCAAAAGTTCATAAGGGAATGGATGGAAGGATGACTGGAAACACGAACCAGAGAGACACAATGGGAGGAGGGACAACACAATGTGGAACTGTAACCAATGCCATAAAACAAAGTATGTGAATGGCTGAATAGAGTATCAATCTGCTCTGTAAACATCCACTCAAATCACAACAAAAAGTTAAAATGTTGGCTGTGGCTATCTAAAATATAAATATTGCTATCTACTCAGCTGAAGCAAAAGAAGATAAAGGAAAGCAAAGACTCAAAAGGAAAAACAGTTGACACAAACCACAATTTTATCTATCCTGAGACCATAAGTCACATTACACGACCCTGGAAGAAGGGAGAAAAATGTACAACAGAACCTCAAATTCCTGAAAAGAAGCAAACAGACCTACAAGACTGGTGGAGATCCGGAGAACCCCCTCCCAAATATTCTACAAACCTTGATCCCAAACTAACCCTGCAAAATGGCTCAAAAATTGAGTATCAGCTGTAAGTACTACACTTCCTTAAAAAAATCATTTCTGTGAAACCAAATGATCGACAATTAGCTTGAAACAAAGATAAGACTGAAGGGGGCAGGGAAACTAGATGAATGAGAATGGAACAACTAGAACAGAAGTAACAAGATTGTTCAAGAAACTGGAAGAATGTAAATGACTTCTCTTAATACCTTGTGTAGAAATTGTCAGACGAGAACTTGACCTGCTGTGCCAATGACACTGCAATTACAGTAAAATATTATTAAAACAAAAACAGATGGGAAAGACCTTCAGGGTCCTGCGTGCACTGAGTTAAGAGGATGCACCTCGTGCTGACTTTCTATTCTGCCTGGAAAGATTCTGAGACAAGAAACAGCACTTGTGATGAGACATTTCCTGTTGGACGAAGTTGTCTGTGAGTAATTAAAACCTTTTTCCCGACTGCCAACAGGGTTACACTCTTATGTGTACAACATGGTCAGGATAAATGAACAGTTTAACATGTGTGTTGCACTGTTATTTACCTCCATATAGAGGAGGAGGAGTCAGTACCACCAGGTGGAATCCTTAACCCAATACCCTGGTGGGTACTCGGGGAACATGGAAAGCCTTTAAAGCAACCTTGTATGGATAACGTCAGCCTCAGCAAGCAGTGTGATGAACTTACCACACTAGGGCAGCTTCGTTAGGTTCCATGCTACATCCATACCACAACACAACACTCTAGCAGTGTCCGTAGGGTGAAAAGGAAGCTGCAGCTGCTCCCCAGGATGGACATAGTAGAACCAAGACAGAAATATTCTTGCATGAAGGTAAAACGGCTGGAGTGCCAGCTCCATGGTAACAGTCATCATGATTGGTAATGTCATTCATGCCAGCTCCTGGAAGTGTTCCGGTGGGTAAAGGAGAGGTAGCAGAGAGCTTCAGAAACAGGAAGAATAAATGACTTAAGAGTGGATGGGAAAGGGTACAAGTAAAAGCCAAGGATGCAAGGAAAGGATATAAGTGAGAGAAGCCCACTGAAGCCCAAGGAACAGGGGATGGAAAGGAGGGAAAGGAAGGCAGGGCTGTGAGCTCAGCATGATGCGCACAGAGCAGAGACCACTCGGAAGGCCCAAGAGTCTCCCTTGTTTCCACGGCAGTGTGCCTCCACCTTTCTGGCTATGTTGGTACCACTAGCATTTTGTACAAGCAGGTATAACTTTTTAATTTAGACTTTTTACAAGTTTCTTTAAAAAAAAAAAAGCCAATGTATGATCTGTAAGAAACTCAATTAGAAAAAAACTTCAGTGGCTCAGAGAAGGGAAAAAAATCTCCAAAAGAAAAATAACCATTAAAAAACCATGCATTTTTGGACTGAAAGAGACAACAGCATTTTCTGAGTTTTCTGTGAAAGGACATTCTAGCTTCTACATCTCACAAGTCAATAAAGAAGTCTTCACTGATGCATTAACAAAGTTCACCAATACCACAGTTCAAAACTCAATAAAATATTAACTAACAGCATTTCTCCCTAACAAATTCAGGGCCACCCGCTCCTTATACCATCTCAGTGTTTGCAAAAGTACCCTGAGCACATCTGGGAAAGGTGCCAGAAAGTCATTTCCTTTGTAACACATCTACTTCATGGAGCAGGGAACCTCAATGGGGAAAGAAAGCTGTTAAAGACTTCGTTCTATCCCAGATGCAACAATGAGCATTTTATGTTAGCATTATCTGACAAAGACTTCCCCTGAATCTTCTTAACATGATTCTTTGTCCCAAAGGTCAAACTGTGACTACATCTCAATCTCTTCTGCAGATAGTGTACTGCACCTGGAGACTTCTCAGTAAGCCTGTCTCCTCTTCTATGCAATGGAATAATTTCCACAAGCTGCGGTGAGAATGAAGAGGAAACAGGCACGCAATCCCACCAGGTGGTAGGTATTCAAATCTTTCATTTTGATAGCCACAGATAAACACAGCATGATTAGGTTGTAACTGTGACAGGCAGGCCTATGGGCTGCGTAAGCCAAGAGGGACCCAAGCCCGAAGCACTAAGTCACTACAACAAAGGTCATGGTGACGTCTCAGGACACAGAATAGGGCTTTCAGCCTTCCCAGAGTTGTCTTAGGCTAGGTTCTCCAGGGAAGCAAAATAAAAAATCAAGGAAGTCTATCTATATGTCTAATGATCATTCTGTTTATTTGTGGAGAGAGATAGTGCTTAGCCACATGCAGGATCTGGACTAGGCAAAAGAAGAGAGCCTCACTGTAGTCCACACACACCAGGTACAGGCCTCACCTCTAAAGAAACTCTGAGTTGATTAGGTGTTCACAGCAGATCTCATCCAACTGCCCAAGAAGAGAGGCAGAGCCAGCTGACATACAACCTTAACCATCATCACAAGAGTTGATACTGACTGTAAGCTCCCAGCTTAACAGTAATGCTGGAGAGAGAGTCCACTGAGAGGGACACATTTCCACAGAGGCACCAAGGTGCAGGCGAGAACAACAACAGCAAAAAGGTCTTCATCAGACCAGGATTCAGACAATCCCTGGGGCTGGCCAGAGGTAGGACCTGGAAAATTCAATGCGACCACAATGCATTTCCCTATCTATTAACATGCTTCTTCTCAGGAGTGCTGTGAGGAGTCTGCAGACAGAACTTGACAAGGTTCATACGACTCCTGATCAGTAGCAAGGGCTTAATAATGCCTGTGGCCTGCTGCTGGTTGATGGGAAGCGGGTTAAGGCTGGCCCTCCATCCTCAGCCAAACTAAATCATCTAGGTACAAGACGGGCAGAGTTACACATCCAAGGTCTGAGCAGAAGAAAGAAAGAACTTGCCAACAAGTGAACACGGGTGAGGCAAACACGTGGTCAACCAACAATGGACTTCCTGGGAGTGAAATGCCGGCCAAATAACCTGGAGTCTGGTACTTCTGAAACAAACCGCCAAACACAAGACTTGATGGCTTTCTTAGGTCTCTGTTTTCACTTTACAGGGAATAAAAACTTGAGACTGGCCCAAAGCTCCTAGGAGTCCAAGCCCGTTGTACTAACTTGGCCTCCTAATTGTCATTAACACCCTGTCATGGTGCATTAAATAGTCTAAATGCTTACATGAGACACTAACACGCTCACTGCCATCAAGTTGGGACTGACGCACAGCTGACCAGCCACTGGGTTTCCAAGGCTGTAAGTCATACTGTAGGAGACTGCCCACCTTTCTCCTCAGGATCCACTTGTGGATTTGTACACTAGAGAGGCGTGGCTGGTTTAACAGGGTAACTCCGGGCAGACTACACTACAAGAACACGTCTGTGGCACTGTTATTGCCTGTCACTGAGTCGGGACCGACCCATAAGCTGACCTTTCAGCATAGGTTCAGAGACAATAAATCCCACAGGAGGAGAATGCCCATTTTTCTCCCACAGAATAGCTGGAGGATTAGAACTGCCTATCTTTGTGAGAGTAGCACAAAGTCTGTAGTCAAGGGCCGGTCCAAATTACTATAGAGCAATGATGTCAGTCTAAGGACTAAGGTGCACCTGATTCAGGCCATCATCTTTTCAGTCACTTGTTATGCATCTGAGAGCTAGACAATGAATAAGGATGACAGAAGAAGAACTGATGCCTTTGAACTGTGGTGTTGGAGAAGAGTACCAAACATCCCATGGATGGCCAAAGAGACAAACAAATGTGTCTTGGAGGAAGTGTAAACCAAGGTGCTCTTTGGAGGCAAAGGATGATAAAATTCTTTGAGCATGTTGCTAGGAGAGGTTATCCCTTGGAGAGGGATACCATGCTTGGAAAGGTGGAGGGATGGTGAAAGAGAGAGAGAGAGACCCTCAAACAGATGGATTGACACAGTGACTATGGCAATGGGCTCAAGTGTGTCAGAGATTGTAAGGATGGCACAGAATAAAGCAGGGTTTGGATCTGATGACATCTAATAACAACAAGAATAAGGTGCCCTTGGGAGCACTGATTGGGTCTGAAAATATTAAGAAAGAAAGAAAGCATGTCAATGTGGAAGGAATCACTCTTCTTGCTTCTGGCAGTCTGCATGCTCAGTGGATTTCAGCTGGGCCATTTTCTTCTGTCAGACCTTCCCTCATCCCAGCACTGCTGCTCAGCCGCTGTGTGCACATACATAACAGTCATCAACTTTCAGAAACACGTGCACAAGCTCTACTGACTTCTCAGGAGCAGGTCTTAACTGCTACCTGAGGGACCCAAAGACTGGCTCAAGGCCACAGCAAGTGCAGCCTTTATGGCATGGGCTGGCTGCTCAGAATTAGTAAGCTATTTCCAAATCCTAGTCGACAGCTCTGCTCCTCTCTCAGCACTCCTCACAGGTGCTGTGAGCTGGGAGGGTCGTGTCTATGTTATGAGGTGCTCTGATGGCCACATGGCTGCTTGAGTCAAGGGCGATAGGGAATTCTCAAATTCTGCTGCTAGAAGGAAAGGCAGAGAGGAGGGATATGGCACTGCCTTGTTCAGTGACAAAGCCCATCTCTCTGCAGACCCCACCTGTACCCCACCCGACATGTCATGGGCAAGCTGCAGAGTGCCTGATACTGTGGGTGAAGGCTGAGGCTCCTACCAACTCGTGGCTCTGCGGCTTGCCCTGAAGCTTCTGGTGGTAGTCAAAGGTCAGCCTGTCCAGGACAGCATGCTCCTCCTCGTCCACAGTGGCCATGGAGCGCTCTTTGTTGATCTTGTCGATGTCAATGTGCTCCTCACCCTCCAGGATGGCACTCCACCAATACTCTCCCACTTTGTTCAGGTTCACCTAGGGCCAGAGTAGAGCACAACCTGAGTCACTGGGAAAGACAGCAATGGAGGGTCAGCTCCTTGAAGAGCTGCTGGGCATCAGGTATTTGCCAGCAAAGCAATAGGCAGCCAGAGGTGCAAGTCCAAAGGACCTCCTCAAAGTAAGTTCCACATTCCCATAGAAGGTGGATGGACTTTTAGAAAGAGGTTTTACGCTGTGGCTGGTGGCCCCTGCTGGACAGTGCCTATGCAAAATAGGGAAGAGAGATCAGCGCCCAGACTTCCCTTTTGATGAGCCACTCCTCTTTTTTTCCACCAGACTTACCATTCCTACAGAGGGTGGTGACTGCTATCTTTGCATGTCACCCTCCCTATTCACCAGCCCTAGTCACTCACTCCGAGCCACTTCTGAACGAAAAATTGTGTTTTCCAAAAGCTACTTACTCATCCCTACAAGTCAGGAGGCAGAGTGTGGCCATGAGAAAGGAGAGATGACAGCCCTTACTTATTAGGCACCCAGTCCTGCCACCATAGTCACCCCACCACATCCATTCGAAGGCTTGTTCCCAGACACTGGCTTCCTTTAGCTCCTGCCTGTGTAGCCAGACCTCCTTCTCCAGGGTCTCTCTTTCTTGCTTCTAGAAGTAGGATTTAGTCTCAGTAACTTGGGACCTCCTCTGGGGGACAGATCTACTAGATGTAAAGCTTAACTTAGTGCAGAATCATCTATGGTTTGCCAGACACCCTGAATTTGTCTCTGCTCTGCTGATATCCTGCCCAGGCTTAGGCCTACTGCTTGAGGTACTTGTCTACCATACCACAAGCCTAGTCCCCTAGTCTCCCTCTCCTGTGTTCACCCACATGTCCTAGCCTGCTATGGGGTCCAGCCTGCTCAGGTATTTCTGCTAGTACCTGCATTCACACTCCTTTTACGGCCAAGGGCAACTCAACCCTATGAGCCTCGTGACACATAGTGGGAGAGCTGGATAGAGAGTGGGTCTAAACCATAAGCAGCAAAAGCAGAACACCAAAGGGAGGGCCCAGTTAATGGTCAGGTGCACAGATGCCAATTTACCTGGTAACAAGGACCACAGGTTTACCTCTGCAGTTACGGCTACATCTCTCTGGAGGGAGTTTGGTAATTTCCCTTGTCCTGTTCACTTTCTTTTTCTTTTTTCATTTTCTAGTAGTTTATTCACAACATTCTAATAAAAATTCAAACAATTTCTTTCTGATGATGACAAAACAAACTATGTCTGGAAGGAAAAGGGAGAGGTAAGCCGAAACAAGGGCCTCAAAAGAGAGACAGGTGTTCATGCACACATCTAGGAGAACACAAGGGGTCAGCTCAGTGAGACTGCTGCGGTGGATTTCGGGAGTCTCCAGCTACAGATAATGAAAATCTGTGGAGATGTGGTGGGCTGGCATCTGTTGGCCTTATACAGCCTGAGGAGGAGCACCAGAGACTTTGTGTCATCAGCCCTGGCTGTCCCCTTTTACTGTCTGGCAACATCTGCATTCACTTAAAAGTGCATGTAGCTGTCACAATAGTGTGCTGAGAGAGCTCTTCCATTTTCCTCCACCTCTCAAGCCTCATCAAAGAGAAAGAGTTCATGTGGGGTCCTCTCACTCCTTCAGGATTCTCTCATGGAAAAAAAAGGTTCAAAAACCAAAGTCCAAGTCTAGTTCCTGAAAAGTGACTTCAACTATTTAAGAAGACGGGATTAAAGAGGTAACAAGAGGCCATAGAATAAATTTTGGAAGTGAAAAAAATAAAAGAACTACAACCACTAACATAATATCAGCATCTCAGCATATTATTAAAAATAAATACCCTTCAAGTTCTGGTTTCCATGTGGTAGATATGAGAGATAAAGAGAAAAGGTGAGCTGGCTGGTTCTTCAAAGCATGTAAGAAACCCAACTCCATCAGAAAGAAGTCCAGGTACAGGATGACATCTAATCTCTCTAATTTTCCAGTGTTTAGTTAGCTGGTCAATAACTGTATCATCTGCTGAGAGTGAAGACAGGCCCTGAGAACCCCCATAGGGAGAATCTTTTTAACTTAGCTGAAGATCTCAGATTAATGCAATGTAAATCAGGTGGGAACTGTATTCTACCTAGGCAAGATATCTGAACTCCTTATCCACAGTAAATTTCTAGAAAAACACATTTACTTTGCTTCTATCCTCACTGGCAATTTCCATTTTTAGGGCTATCAAGATGTGTATTGTTAATACTCACAGTCCCTAGAAAACATACACTGTAGCCCTTGAACCCACACAAGGCTTAAGGTCATGGCACCACCTGGCAGAGTGGCCTACAAATCAATCTCCAAGTTCAGCTCTTTGTTCCAGACCTTGTCGTTAGGTGTAGCAGGTTTATTCAAAGCTGTCCTAGAAAGTTTTCTTGTAGCCCTTGAACTTTTTGATAGTCTGCAAGTCAAAGCCATGATTATGACCAGATGAGGTCACATGAATCAGGCTAGTGGGTACTGTGGGAACAGCAAGAAAGCAACAGGCTTCATCCAACTTTTTCTTATGCCCAAAAAGCAAGCCCACCTGTGTAGTGGGTAACGCCTCCAAAATCAGTAGGGTCTAGGGTCATTTTCTGAAGATCTGCCCAAACCACACTCTACTACAGCCATCACCACCACCTGCCTCTGCACTGTCCAATCCTCTGGAGTCCTTTGTACCTGTAGTAGGCAGCCTTACACAGAGCTCCCTGTCCTCGACTGTCATTATCAGCACAGCAGCAGTTAAGGTCGCTTCTGTAGAAGGTCCTTGAGATGGCCCTGCCAACAGCAAGGTGACATCTACACAAATGTAGTGTTCTTGACAGTGTGAAGAGCCAGAGGGATAGCAGCCTGCGTAGAGAGGATACCAGAGAGTACTTTACGCTCCACAGAGACTGACCATCACAGCCTGACACGAACAGTAGGATTTTGAATCAGAACTTTTGCTAATACATTATTTTAGAAGCTTTAAAAACCGGAGTCCTGCCTGCCTGCCCTGCAGCGGTCCCGCAGTGGTCCCACCGCAGACCCAACAAAAGCTGGAATTCATGAGCTGAGCTAAGCTGCACTGAGACTCACCTAAAAGGAAAAAGGTTAGTAGGGAAATCGGCTGATTTCTCTTGAGCCCACTAAAACCTGGAGGGTCTGAGGTGCGGCGTGGACAACAGGAATTGAATCATAACTTTTGTCGAAACTTTTAGTATTGGAACTGTGGGAACAAAGCCGCACAGACTCGGCAAAAACCGGAAGCCACTAGATGAGCTTCTAAGAGACCCATTTGAAAGGAGAAAACTTAGTGGGGAAATTGGCTTATTTCGCTTAAGCTCCACTAAGACCCAGTGGGTCTGTTGCATGAAGTGGACAGTAGAAATCTGAATCAGAACTTCTGCTGGAGTGGACTCAGAACGAGCTAATAGCCTCAGTTGCAATCTGGACCACTTTTTGGTTGCACTGCAGATCGGCAAATGCCGGAATTTGCAAGCCGAGCTTCTGAGGGACCCACTTGAAAGGGATAACCTTTGGGGGGAAAGTGGCTGAATTTTCTAAAGCTCCTCTAAGGCCCAGTGGGTTTGTTGCATGATGGAGACAGTAGGAATTTGAATAAGAATTTTGATGGATTAGAGTCGGAACTGTATGAAGTCAGCCTGGGGCGAATTCCCGTCCACATTTCAGTGCGCACTCTGGATCAGCAAAAGCCAGAAGCTGCTGGACCCATTTGAAAGGGGAAAGCTTAGTGGGAAAACTGGCTGAATCCTCTTAAGTCCCACTAAGACCCAGTGGGTCTCCTGTTTGACGTGGACAATAGGAATTCTAAAAAGAACTTTTATTGATACAAATAGTTTTAGGAACCACAGGATCTTAAACCCGTACTGCTTTATGGAAATTTGACTGGTCCTCCTAGGCAGGGGCCACTGGACGAGGGCACTGGGTAGTGCCACTGGGTAAGGGCCACTGAGTGAGAACTGCTGACTGGGAGACAGACAGCAGGAACTCGATCAGGGTCCTCAATCGTGAGCACACCTGGGCCGCTAAGGTCTGTGTGAGGTCCCTCAACTGGTTGACCCACCCTGGTGACTATTACACCTCCCTG